GATGGAGAAGCAGAGAGAAAAAGAATTGATACCATGACCCTGGATCACATAGGCAGTGACAGAACCAAAATAATTTCAATCCCCTTCTTCCTGTTTCAGTATATTCTCATCACTTGGCAATGGTAGCTTATTCCAATGTAATTCTGAATTATTCCTTAAACCTAAAGCAGCACAGTTTAGAAAAGTCTAATTGGTAATCTGCAGCATTTAATATACAGAAAATTTTTGTCCATGAAACACACTAAGTGACTTCATGTCGTGGTAAATTATCAAATTGTGGAAAGAACATTGCAAAGATTAAAATGTTGCATAAGAGAGAGAAAGCAGCATGAGTCAGGGGTTTGGGAAATATGAGTCAGACTAAAGGGAAGGAGCCAAAAACATAGAGAATGAGGGCCTAAGCAGGGACTTAATGGACACCACAAAGACATGGACATAGTTACCTCCATTAACTTTGAGAGAAAATTAAATATGCAGTTACATAGACTGGGAGTCAGTATGGTAAAGAGGCTAGGAGTGTGAGCTGAGCAAAGATCAGACTGTATTATTTAAAGCAATAATGGTGCCAAAGTCAGCAAGAGAGGGACCTGTAATAGTATAAATCACTAGGAGGGAGAACATGGGCACATTTTTGAAAAATGAGGGAATTACCAAATATTGCCATTAGCTATTCTCAATGCATTAGAATGATGAAATATGAGTTGATTTACGTGTTGTGATATTTTAGGAAGCACACTCTATTATTTTATTCTTTGATAGTGTTTACATTAGGCTGTGTCTACATGGTTCAGAGCTGTTCCCTGTGGTGTTCAGTCTAAACTCTAATCTCACCTTTAAGGCACTAAATTTTGCTCATGACTTAAACTACCATTTTATGAGCACCTTCAACCAGGCACTAAACCAGACTCCTCACAGGCAGCCCCTCCAGCAATGCTGACTCCAACACTCTCAGCCATTCTCATACAAACCACTTTTGTCTTGTCAGTGTTTTTTAACGCACTCTGCCTTCTGCCTAGGAGTAGCCTCCTGTTTCTGTCAATTCACATACCTCACCTTCTTCAAAATGCCGCTTAAAACTCATCTCTTGCAGCAAACCTTCTATAGCCACCCTCCTCCGATGCTGCCTTATTCCTCATAGCTTCTGAGCTTCTCAGTGCTCTTGCTTTACATCCTTTTCCATTTGCTGACATCTTGCTGATTTTGCCGTTTTTCCCACATCTTGCCTATTAACCTATCTTGCAAATATTTACTTCCATGAGATAAAACACTGGTTCTACTTTTCTTAAACTCTAGACCTCAGGTTTCAGCAATCATGATTCATGCATCCACTTATTAACAGATATTTTTTTTGAAAATCCACCATGGTTCATGCATTCTGCTAGGTACTAGGAATACAAAGAAAAGGAAACACATTGACCCCCATCCTCAAAGAGCGAAGGTCCAGAGTCCAGGGAATGTGTTAACAGATGGCCTAAGAACTTAGTGAGCTTGACTGTCAAGGATAAATTATAGATAGTTCAAAAACAGCAAAGACATCTCTCCCCAGAGTACTTTTTCTTAGATTATCAAGAAATCATGGCTTACCTGAATACTTTCCCTTATAAATAAAATATTGCATTTGCCAGTACAGATGTTCTCACCACAGAGGCTTTTATAATCACATCTGGGATAGCCAGATCTTCTGCTTCATCTGCACAAGGATGGATGTTCTGCTTTGAGTTTCTGACATAAATGTATATTTCAGTGGCTTTCTTATCACATTGAGCTCTCTGACATTTAAAACAAATAGCAATGCATACAAGTAGAAAAGGGAAGCATAAAAGAGTTTAACAATGTATAACAATTCTTATATGACTTTGTATATCTTATATAATTTTCTAATATGACATATGTTTGTGAATACCATAACAGGATCTCAAAGTACAAATTTCAAAATAATAAAATTGTTTTGTTTAAATAAACTAGTAAACTGACAGTGCAATTGAAGATAGTTCAAAGAACTCCAATCTGTATATTACACTTCAGCATTAGATAATCTGCTAAGAGCAAAGGGGAGGATAAATTCTAAACTCAAGTAGAAGTCATAAATGAACATGTAGTCAGTCCATGTACTGGCAGATGCAGCTCAAGGTGCATGATGAAGTGTGCACTCAGCACCTTTGGAATAATTTCTCAAAGGGGATTTCACACAACTATACTTTATTGAATTGCAGGAGGGTTCCCCCTCCAGAAGAATTAAAAATAAAAGTAAATCCATGTAAATATGCATTAAAAATATTAGCTGTCAATCCTAGGTGAGGTTGGTCCTATTGTAGTTTTGTTTGTGTTTTTTGATAGAGAAAGGAAAAGAGTGTAGTGGTAATGGAGGCAGTTGGTATTTTACTTGTTTTTTGTTTTTTTTAATTAAATTACTTTAACTCACCCAATATTTTTATTAAATAATCCTTCTCACAAGGTAAATGGACCTGTTCTTAAGGAGGAGTAAGTCCAGGGAGTATGGTTTTTATGTATAAAATCTATTTAATGATATATAAATTCCACAAAAAATGTTACCCTATTTATCAAAGAGACTTAGAATTGAATGACAAGAAGTAGAAAGGAAATTGTACGACATCAGGAAATCAATGGGGTGGAGGCAGTTTGCAGAGACAAGTCTCAGAAAGCAGCCTCAAGTCACTGGTGAGGCCTCCTTTAGAAAATGCAGCAGCCAGCCAGTCCTTGATCTTCTGCCAGCATGTACTGAGGAAACTTGCCACATCTGAATCTCACATTGCAGTATCTCTCAGGGTTGTTATCACTGCAAATGCTGGCAAATGTTCTTGACATAAAACAATAGGAATTCTGTTGTCATTTTTGCATTAGCAAGTCATAAAGCTCTGAAGAAACCTCAGTAGAAATGTTTTCATCACATGCATATGAGAAAATAATAAAAGACACACAAAAAACCCAGATAATTTCAAAGCAAGATTGCTTCACCTTTGCATAGTACCCAAAAAAGATAGAGTTGTGATCAGTGATTTAAAAATAATAATAAATTTCAAAATGAAAATAAAAAACAGCCCAGCCATTGTGGCTCAGTAGTTGAGTGTCGACCCATGCACCAAGAGGTTACCAGTTCGATTCCTGGTCAGGTTGTGGGCCAAATCCCCAGTGGGGGGCATGCAGGAGACAGCCAATCAGTGTTCTCTCTCATCAATGTTTCTCTCTCTCTCTCCCTCTCCCTTCTATTTATTTAAAAATAAATAAATAGATAGATAAAAAATAATAACAAAAATAAATTCACCAACACTTCAAAATCAGGTTCAAAGAATTATGTAAGTAGATGCTTTAATAGGTTATTATCCAATAACAGCCAGATATTCCTGGAGGATTTTTCATCTCCCCTCCCTTATTCTTTTGGAATCTCTCATATCAATTCCACACTCAGCTAATTGAAGTCCTGAGGACAACCCTCTTATAATCAGAACTTCCAACATTATTACACTGGGTACTGTAAGTGCAGTTATTATCTTTGGAAACATTAGATGAATGGCAACATTCTGAGCTTCTTAAAGGGAAGGGCAGGAATTGAAGAATAAATTCTAACTGATGGCTCATTTTATTTTTATTATTGATTCTTGACCCAAAGCACCACGCTGGGTCTACCGCAGTGATGTTCTTAGACACCCTAAGCTTGTTGCAGTTTTTATGCTAAATTCATCATCAAGGAATTATAAGGCTATATTTTTATGATACTTAGAGTCTTAAGTTGTTGAAGAAGTCCAAAATCACATAATCCCTTCATTTGTGTTATTTTACTTCATATTGTGAGAGAGAAACATCTGAATTAATGCAAAGGTAAGGTGGATAAGGCTAAATTAAATATTACTTATACATTATTATAAATGTACACACAGATTCATATCTCATTTTGATCCCAAAGAAATTTATTGTAACAAGTTCATTATATTATGACTGAGCATTTTTTACTTTTCTAAAACTATACCTACCTATTCCTTAAGTCACCTTTACTATATTGTTCCCAAAATTGAAATACTTTGGGAAAATATGTATTTTACACTACATCAGCCTATCTTTCTTAGAGAAATAACCAAATTAAATACTTTCTAAAGTTTGAAGACAAACAAGCAACAGGGAATGCATAATATTAAAGTTTGATTTATATCCTGTTATTTGGCAGTTTTTTTAGAGATTCATCAATAGAAATTATTTCAAATATAATATGTTGGGTGAAAAAAACAGTATCATACAATTTATTTACATTTTAAAGCACACAAAACAATACTATATATTCTAATGAGTATATCTCTGTATACTAAAAGTATAAAAACACCTCAGGGAAGTATTCGTGCCTACCAGGACAGTGGTGGGTGGGTGGATAAAGGGATGAGGATGGAGTAAGGCTTTAGCTATATCTGATATGTTTCATTTCTTAACAAAATAAAGTGAGCTGAGGCAAGCAGAGCAAAATGTTATCATTTGTTAAATCTGAGTGGTACACACTGGCATCTGTGAAATTATTTTCTATACACTAAAAATAATTTATCATTTTAGCCCCGGTCAGTTTGGCTCAACGGTTAGAGTGTCAGCCCGTGGACCAGAGAGTCCCGGGTTCAGTTACCACTAGTGGCATGTACCACAGTTGCAGCTTGTGTCCAGACCCAGTTGGGGTCGTGTGGGTGGCAGCCAGTCAATGTGTCTCTCTCACATCAATGTTTCTCTCTCTTTCCTTCACCCCTCCTCCCTCCTGCTCTATCTGAAGATAAATGCAAAAATGACCTCAAAAATGTCCTCAGGTGAGGATAAAAAAATAATAAAAATATAATAATTTATCATTTTAAACTTTTCCAATATAACAATATTGCAGAATAGTGTTTTAAAAACAAAGTATACGTTTTAAGAACTCAATTTCTTTAGGAAAACTATTATGACAATATGGAGGAAATATCAACGTCTTCTCAACCAACTCAAAACCTTTCTATGTTGTGTGTCTTTAACAGACATAGATGAGTGCGCTGCAGGGACGCACAACTGTAGAGGCGACCAAGTGTGCATCAATTTACGTGGCTCCTTTGCCTGTCAGTGCCCTCCAGGGTATCAGAAGCGAGGAGAGCAGTGTGTGGGTAAGTACAGCAGTGCAGTAAGCAAAGTCCTCTCTTGAGCATCTTAATTGTTAAACCTCAGGCATTCAAAACAAAGCACTCATATTTATTTGGAGAATGATAGCCAACTACTGCTTATTCTTTCATTGAATGCCAATCCATTTTCCACATTCACGAAAAAGAACAAGCCTTAAAGCTTCAGCATATTCTGGAAATCAAAGTGTTGATTACATGTTAGACTAAGCAAAAGAAGTAATATGTAGTATGAATGAGACCTAAAAGCATAGTTCATAGTTTATAAGGCCAATGGTGAGGTTCAAATCCCATTACCACCCTACACTCACATTGAGCCCTTAGGTGAGTTACTGAAATTCTCAACCTACTTTTTCCCTATGTTCTATGGATATAATACTAGACTCTTCTTCAGAAGCTCGTGTGTGGGAATGCTTAGAACGGTGCCTGGTCCTGGGCTGAATAGCTGTGTGCTATCGGTATATAAAGAGTTAACATACTAAACATTCTTTATGCTGCAAGCAGGTGCAGTGCTAGGAATGCAAAGCCAAATGCAACATGTGCCTCTATTTGAGAGTTCTACTTGAGCTCCCTCAAGGCAGGGGCCGGGTCTGGCATGTGTCACTGCTGTCTCTTTAGTCCCTGAAGAGTGCCCACCAAGTAGATGCTCTAGGCATCTTTTTTGAATGAGAGGAAGAACATGGTATGGGGAGGCCAACTGCCAAATAAGAGGTAAACTAAAGTGTTCTGGGCTCATTTGTGAGGCTTACCATTATGCATAAAAGTCTTTAATTGACTCCCTCTGTCCAATGATTTACATACCACCTCTCACCATAGAAGAGAAGAGTTTTTATTTTCTCTTAGAAACAGAGGATCAGGATGTGGGGACAGGCAACCAGCATTCATTTTCGCCTGAGAATGTGAGCTGTTGATGTCAGGATGTCAACACTGAGCTCCTCATGGGCCCCAGTGGAGTTCTGCTTGCCATGGGCTGTTCCTAGAGGATTGGGGTTACTGCCCAGCCCCTGAGGAAGGCCCAGGGTTTGCAATGACTGAAGCTGTGATTTAGGAGAAGAATGTGTGGAAAACTCTACCACCAAAGTTTTGTCCACTGTATTAATCAGGAAAATAAACAATTGAGAGTATATAACGCACAGAAAAAGAACTAACTCAAACTACTGTGGGAAAAACCAAAGAGAATGGAACATATAGTTGTAGCTCTTTATATCCATAGGAGGAGACATTCTTAAATTCAGTCTAACCATGTGGTATTTCTTTCACCCATATAACCAATTCTACATTCGTCAACAGAGCATATAAGGTCTTCCTTAATCAGATCCTTGTCCAGCCCTGAACAACCCTTTCCCACCAAAACAAAAAACACTCCAGCAGCTTTATCCCACTACTTATAATTCCCCACATATAATACATCACATAGTGTCACACTTTAGTGCTTCTACATAAGATCTTTCAGCACCAGAAACATGGAATCCTGGCAAATTCCTATTTAACTCTCAAATCCAGGCTCAGAGTCATTTCCTCTGAGAAGTTGTCCATGACCCCAATATAATTAGTCACTCCCTCCTCTATGCCAGTACTTCTCAAATTCTGATGGATCCTTTTTGTAAATTTCCTATCTGTTGCAGATTAATTCTCTAAACTACAATAAAAATGTTAACAGCAAATTGCTATTTCTAAATAACTACTCTCAATTTCTGTACTTATTTGTTGCAGACTGGTCCATAAAGTCCATGGAACAGCAACAGTCAGCAGGCCACACTTTAGTGCTCCTTCTATCCCTTATACACTTTTCTATCGTTGATCTTATCATTCATGGCAGTCATCTGTTTTCATGCACATCTTCCATACTAGACAGGCATAGGATGTATGTATATTTATTATCATTATAAATCTGTAGTGCTAAACACAATGCAGCAAATAACAATGGTTCGATGAACGTTTACTGGCTGTAAAGACACATATCATTTATTCAGCAAATATTTATTGAGGGCTGACTGTGTGCCAGGCACTGTCTGAGGTGCTGGAACATCATGGTGAACAAACATTCCTTGTGGAGCTATTAGAAAGTACCATTTACACAAATTAGCTATCAAGATTGGCACCTGGGTGTAATACTGGGTACTAGGAAGAACTGTGCTAAAATTGCTCTTAGTTGGTATGATGTTTCCATTTATTCAACTAATGTTTATTGAGTACCTACTATGCCAGGCCCTGTTCCAGGTATTAAGCATACAGAAGTAAACAGACAAAAAAAATACTCTACCTCCACCTCACGAGGTAGAGACAGGTCTTATCTGCCATGCATTGAGGGAGACAGACGAGAAGCAAATAAGCACATAACACAGTGTCAAGGAGTGTCAGTGGCTACAAAGGAAAACAAAGCAGGATAAGGCAATAGATAATGCAGAGGAAGTTATTTTATATGAATGGTCAAAAATGGTCTTCCTGAGGTGACATTTGAGCAGACATCTAAATAAATGAGGGGGTAAACTATGTGCGTATCATTATCATTTGATTCAATATTTAAGCTAAATTAAATAAATTTTGCAATTTATTGATAAGAGCTCCCATTTGTTTTTACCTGTTTTATGTAAGGAAGTTTGCCTACATTATGTCCTGTAATCCTTCCAACAGTTCTACCACACTGTCATACTGTTACTTACAGAGGAGTAAATGGAAGCTCTAAGAGGTTAACGCCAAGCTAGTAATTGCCAGAAAATTCAAACTCAGATTGCACTGAGGCCACTCCAGCACAATGCTTCCCATACTTTTAGTTATTAAAGGACCAGAGAGCTCAGCATAAATTTTTGCTTTTGCTTTTTTTTTAACTATAAGGTAGTGTCACTACATAGTCTTACATTGTACATGCATACTTGTTATTTTAAATTACGCATGCCATGTTGGAGTTGTCACAAAGTATTTAGTCATGACTCAATGAAATTTTATTATGCTTCTAAGATGTTAATTCTACTCTGCAAGTTCACAATTGAGCACTTTATAGTTGGAAAAATTTATTTGAGAGGGACACAGCCTGGAACACATCACTATGTCAGAAGGGCACTTTTGTTTAGCATCTTATTTCTTCCACAGTGTTCTTTCATTTGATTCTCACAGAAACATCATTAGATACACATAGCAAGCATTACTATCCACATTTTACAAAAGAAAAAAAACAACAACAAGATAATGAACGTTTCAATGACGTGGCCAAAGTCACCAACTAAACAGCAGCCTCCCCCTTCTTTCTATTAGTTTTATGCACATAACTCAATTCTTTGATAGTTTTTTTTAACTTCTATCATTATAAATAAGCTTTTAAATCCTCAAACTGACATTCTCATATATATGTGAAATAGTCTTAATTACTTTTCTCTCTTTCAAATTTCAACCCACCCAGCCAGATTTATGAAGCCTTTTTCTTTTCTTTTTTTTTTTTTTTTTATTTGGTACGTGCCCCTAGCGGGAACCGAACCAGTGACTCTCTGGTCCGTAGGCCAACGCTCCAACCGCTGAGCCAAACCGGCCAGGGCAGAAGCCTTTTTCTTAACATCTCACTTAACTGTAGAATGCAGACCAAGGTATATTTAAAACACATATACCCTAGTTTGAAAAAAATAATAACTAATTTTTAAATGAAGTCTTCCCTAGATAATGTTCTGAGAACTTGAGAGCAAACGGGTGTGGATAATCAATAATGTAGTTCTCTTTGTGTGTGTATGCCTGGTAACCTAGATATAGATGAATGCGCCATTCCTCCATATTGCCACCAAAGATGCGTGAACACACCAGGATCATTTTATTGCCAGTGCAATCCTGGGTTTCAGCTGGCAGCCAACAACTATACCTGCGTAGGTAAGCCTTTTGGGAACCAACAACCAAGATTTCTGTCTTCAAAAAAAGGCAAACCCCATGCCACATTGCAGTATTTCTAGTTTTCTATGTTCTTGAGTGAACTGATTTCCATCGACTTCCCCAAATAAAGCTAAAAAGACAGTAACAACACTGTTTCTTAAAGTACATCAACATGTGAATGGAAAATTTTTTTAACCTTGGTTTTAGTTCTCTTCTGTGGGTGTATCAAAATATATAGATAGATAGATAGATCCAATGATATACACACACCAATTAGTCAACAGTGTGTGATATAAAAACTGAAGGTGTCAAAGGGGTTACTGCAAGTTCAAATACATAAACTTTCCACTGAAAGAGCATCTGATGTTTACATGCTTCTCCTTTTTCAGAATGCAATGTCACAGCACACAATTTTAAGATTGGCATGACATGGAAAGAATCTAGTACAGGAAAAAATGCCCTTTCACAATATTTTTAGTGCCTTAGAGCATTGCAAAACTCTGTATGGGTCTCAAAGGCTTATGTTTTAATTGTAATGGAATTTAACAGAACCCATTTAAAAAGTAATAAATAGCACAGATAAATCTTCACTACAGCATGCTGAGAGACCATATCAGTATGAGTGTCTTATATCAATTATTTATAGACTTGGCATTTTGCATCTGAACAACAGTAAAAGAAAATAGATACTGGAATGTATATTTATTAGAATTATTAAATTCTTTTGAAAAGATTCATCCCCCCCCAAAATTTTTTTTCTGGTATTTCTAAAAGAAGTATACAACAGATGTTTGAGGTTGTTCCAACAAACATAAAACCTGAATGAATGTTCTCCAATGAGCTTCTGCAGGGCAAAGAATCCAGCTAAGGAATTACTCACTTATCATCAAATGACATAGGTACAAATGAACAAGGATATGTTTAAAGACATAGATATATAACTGTATATAACTTTTCCTTTCAGACATAAATGAATGTGATGCCAGCAATCAATGTGCTCAGCAATGCTACAACATTCTTGGTTCATTCATCTGTCAGTGTAATCAAGGATATGAGCTAAGTAGTGACAGGCTCAACTGTGAAGGTAAAATATTTTCCAAATAAATTTTAGTAAGACTCTTGATTGTTGTTCTTTTTATTTGATTATGTACTCGTTTATGAAAACAAATGTTTATCTATGAAAATTCTATTCTAAAATTTGGTTAATTCAATTACAACAGTGACTTTTTACTATGTTATTTTTAAAAAGAAGGAAAATATGAATGAAATATTAAATGTAAGGTGGGTCTAATAATTAGAAGAATGTGCTCGTATCTTCCTTCTCAAAGTGTGATCCAATGCCCTGCAGCATCCTGGGAGCTTGTAAGAAATGCAGAATCAGCCCTGGCTGGTTTGGCTCAGCGGTTAGAGCGTCGGCCTGCGGTCCTGAGTGACCCGGGTTCGGTTCCCGCTAAGGGCACGTACCTCGGTTGCAGTTTGTCCCCAGCCCTGGTCGGTTGTGCGGGTGGCAGCCACTCGATGTGTCCCTTTCACATCAATGTTTCTCTCTCTCTCTCTCTGTTCCTCTCTCTCCCTCCCACTCTACCTGAACAAAGAATGGAAAAATGTCCTCGGGTGAGGATAAAAAAAAAAAGAAAAGAAATGCAGAATCTCAGGCCCCAACTCAGACCTAGTGAGTCAGATTCTGCATCTAACTCTGGGTGACTGGTGTGCACATTTAAGTTTGAAAAATGCTAATTGCATGTCAGAAGCATTAGAATAGAAACCAAGACCTGGCCCCTAGTCTTATTCCTGCCAGTGTGAAACTTGGGCACATATCTTAAATTGCCTGGGTTTCACTTTCCACTAGTAAAGAGGACCATTTAACTGAAAAAATGACCTTCAGAGTCCATTGCATGTGCATGTTCCACCGTGTAACTTAAAAGGCATAAGACATCCTGAGAGAGTGCCATCGACACTTGATGTCCCTGACTTCTTTGTGGACCCTTACTGCTCTACTTGAGGACACAAAGGTCATATCTCACCTGGAGAAACCTCACATTATGCTACTATGCTCAAAACCAAAATGGGTTGAATTTGGACACCTACCTCTACCCTTCTAAGCAAATTATAAGGTCATCACCATTGAGAAATGCAAAGCATTCTTTCCCAGAAACTAGCACAGTGATGGGACTTGAAGTTCAAAGCTCAGATGAACTTGACAGCAAAGCCACACACATTCTGATAAAGCAAAAATGAATCTGTATCATTGGGTCCGTCTGCAGAGTCCAAAGTGAAAAGCATCAACCATAAGTCAGTTCATTCATTCTGCTCAGTTCATATGGTTAGGTCCAGGATTTGACAAACTGTCAGCAATGATCGAGTAAAACTGCTGGTAAGATAAACTCCATGCTGTGAAGTTCTAGAGCAGCGATTTTCGACCAGTGTGCCACAAAAAATTTTTAAACATACAATACTTGCCTATTTAGTCAGGGGCACTGACCTCTTTTCCCTTAGATTATCAAATTTAAAAAAAAAGAAAAGAAAAGAAAGATGAAAGCCAACACAACAATAGCTGTCCAGTGTGAATGAATCAAACCTATACCTATTTTTTTGTCACATGGGCAAAAAATATATGTTTTGGTGTGCTGCAGAATTTTAGTGATTAGTTTTTGTGTGCCATGAGATGAAAAAAGTTGACAATCTCTGTTCTAGAGGAAATTAACTGATACTGTTAGAATTTGCCCTTGAGCTTCTTACAAAGTATTGTATTTGTGTTTCGGAGTTTGCAGTGTTTTTACTCTCTTACCTCATCTAAATAAAATATTACCAAAGTAGTTTTTCAATTCTGTGTCCTTGCTCTATTCTGATTCAACAGATATTGATGAATGCAGAACCTCAAGCTACCTGTGTCAATATCAATGTGTCAATGAACCCGGGAAATTCTCCTGTATGTGCCCCCAGGGATACCAAGTGGTGAGAAGTAGAACATGTCAGGGTAAGTTTACTGTTTCTTTTCTATTATGTTCAGTTTAACCAGGAAGAGCAGGGAGGAATTATGGGATTCTCTACCATATACTTTTCATTTTTTCCACCCTGAATATACAATTTGAGCTCTTTTTCCTCCTGTTCATTATAAGATATGTACATCTCATAAAGAGAGTATTCACTAAAAAAAAAAAAAAATGAGGGTATTTACTGTTAATACCTACTTTCCTTGAAAAATTTTTTAATCCTCATCTGAAGATATTTTTCCTTCTATTCTCAGATAGAGTGGGAGGGGGAGTAAGAGAAAGAGGGAGAGAGAAACACTGACATGAGAGAGACACATTGATTGCCTCCCACACGACCCCAGCCAGGGCCGGGGACAAACCACAACCAAGGTACATGCCCTTGACCAGAATCAGACCTGTGACTCTTTGATGCTCTAACTGCTGAGCCAAACCAGCCAGGGCTAAAGTAATTTTTTAATATAAATAATTTAAATAAAATATTGATATCCCTTTTAGATAGCCTACATAATCTTTGTGATATACATCTTCTAAGCATCTACTAGAAAAGATTAAATTACTAAACTATTTCATCATGTGTTTGAGTCAGAGCATAAACTAAGTATGTGGATTAGGAATACCTTAAACCAGCCTTGATTCTCTAAAATGCCAAGATTATAAATTGGGTAGTAGTTTAATTGCTGAGAAAATCAGCCTCATGTATACATTAAAATGTGCTTGATTCTTTGGCAAAAAACTATTGATTCAAAAAAAGCTAATGTCCTTGGGCCCAGTTTTAAAATAAACATTTAGCCCTGGCCGGTTTGGCTAAGTGGTTGGAGCATCAGCCCATGGTCCAGAGAAACCCGGGTTTGGTTCCCGCTAAGGGTACGTACCTCACTTGCAGTTTGTCCCCGGCCCTGGTTGGTCGTGCAGGTGGCAGCCACTCAATGTGTCCCTTTCACGTCGATGTTTCTCTCTCTCTCCCTCCCTCTCTATCTGAACAAAAATGGAGGAATGTCCTTTATAAAAATAAAATAAAATAAACATTTAGGCAATCTTCACACATACACACAGTTGGAAGAAGCAGCTCTCCACATGTTATAATTTCAGTCAGTCTCTCCAGAAGATCTGAAAATATACACCTTCTAATCCCTACCATCAATGCTACATGTAACTTGAAATTTCTTTAACAGTGGAAAGTCTGCTCAGATAAAACAAAAAATGTAGATAATCGTGGAAAAGCTAGAACAAGTACATTTATATAAAGCAATGAGAGAATGAAAAAAAATGACTGAACTTGAAAACAGAAAATCTGTTTAAGTCCTAACTGTACTATATTCTTCTGGTACAATCTTGAACAAATTATCAAACTTCTCTGAGTATCAGCTTTCTCATTTGGAAAGAGAGTCGACGGAGGAAAATGGAATAATAAACATAAAAACTGTTTGTAAAATATATATCCTATATAATTCAAGATGTTTTTATGAAATTTACCTAGCAATGTAAATGACAAGTAGAAAATCTCCTCTAGAGAGTCCTTTTTAATCAGAATTGAGAGAGGTCACATGGGGCAGTAAAATCTTGTTAAGAAAGGAAAAGATTAAGGAAAGGAGACATTGGGGATTCTCTGTCTATAACATGATTTTACAGAAAAACATTAACTCAGAGGAGCATCCATTGATATAAAATGTATTAGTATGCATATGATTATTCAACTAGATTCCAACCACCAAATATGAGCACAATTAGAATGTCATTCACTGCACAATGAACAATATCTTTGTACCCCTCTCCAGGTTACTAAAGATTCTGTAATGTTAATTGTGGAAAAATATTGCACTTCAATGGTTTTACTTTCTGAACCCTAATTGAGACTTTTAACATGAATATTATATGCTGGAAAATGTTAACTAGTGGGACATCTTTTTTTTTTAATCTTTATTGTTGAATGTAAAATGTATAACAGATGTTCCACATTTTTCCTCCATTGACCCCCTCCTGCCCACTCCCGCCCCCCTCCCGCCTTTTCCTACACTATTGTCTGTGTCCATTGGTTATGCATATAAGTTCTTTGGTTTATTTCTTCCCACACCCCCAACCCCTTTCCCTTTGAGGTTTGTCAGTCTAGCAATGAATTTCTACTTCTTAATCTCTTCACCTTTTTACCCATTCCCCCAACCCTCCTCCCATCTGGCAACCAACAAAACGTTCTCTGTATCTATGAGAATGTTTCTGTTCTACCTGTTCATTTTGTTTGTAGATTCCATTGTTGATAGATATGTATTCATTGCCATTTTGTTTGTTCATATATTTTATCTTTTTCTTCAAAAACACCCTTCATCGTTTCATATAATAATGGTTTGGTGGTGATGAACTCCTTTAACTTTTTCTTGAATGGAAAAGTCTTTATATGGCCATCGATTCTAAATGACAGCTTTGCAGGATAGAGTAATCTTGGTTGTAGGTTCTTGCTTTTCATCACTCTGAATATTTCTTGCCACTCCTTTCTGGCCTGCAAAGTTTCTTTTGAGAAATCAGCTGACAGCCTTATGGGAACTCCCTTGTAGGTAACTAGCTGCTTTTCTCTTGCTGCTTTTAAGATTCTCTCTTTGACTTGAACCTTTTGCATTTTGATAATGATGGGCCTCTTGGGGTTCATCTTCTTTGGGACTCTCTGTGCTTCCTGGACTTATATGTCTCTTTTCTTCACCAAGTTAGGAAAATTTTCTGCCATTATTGTTTCAAACAGGTTTTCGATTTCTTGTTCTCGCTCTTCTCCTGTCACCCCCAAGATGTGAATGTTGGCACGCTTGAAGTTGTCCCAGAGGCTCCTTACACTATCCTCATTTTTTTTTTTTTATTCTTTTTTCTTTTTGCTGTTCTGATTGGGGCGTTTTTTGCTTCCTTATATTCCAAATTGGTGGTTTGCTTCTTGGATTTACGTACTCTACTATTGAAGCTGTGTAAATTATTCTTTATTTCAGTTAATGCCTCCTTCAGTTCTGACTGTGCATCCATCATTTCTGACTGGTCCTTTTTTATGCTCTTGAGGCCCTCACTAAGTTCATTGAGCATCCTTATAAGCAGTATTTTGAACTCAGCATCTGTTAGGTTGCTTATCTCCATTTCGCTTAGGTCTTTTCTTGGGGTTTTGTTCTGTTCTTTCATTTGGGACCTGTTTCTTTGTCTCCTCATTTTGGCTGCCTCCCTGTGTTTTTTTCTGTGTATTACTTCACGAGTGGTATGGGGCTATCTGAGACCAGATGCTGCTTGTTTGAAAGAATTTAGGAAAACCTGAAGCAGGATCCAAGACAGGCCAATCCTATGGTTAAGCAAGTGGCAACAGCTTGGGTGGGCCTGAAAGTTGGGTGGGGCAAGGTGGGGCCTCAGGGAGTCACCAGGGCAGGGCTACCAGTGTGAACTAGGTTGCTGGAGTTCCAGATATGGTGGCTATCTGCCACCCCAGGGAAGGGCTCACCAAAGGAACAAAGGCCTCTGACTGCACGTCTGACCCGGAGAAAGCCCCCTGTCCAGCCCTCGCTCCAGTGCCAAACAGCTCAGTTCTTCCATGTATGTCTCTGGTGCCCCGCGAGCTGCCTCCCCTCCAAGCTTAGAGGGAGAGAGTCCGATAAGTTCGTGCGCGGGCCAAACTTCCCACTGAGCCTCAGTTCCTGCTGGTTTTTCCAGCCAGAAGTTTTGGGGACTTCTCTTCCTGGCACTGGAACCCTGAGCGGGGCACCTGGTGTGGGACAGGGATCCCTCAGTCCTCAGGAAGGACCTTCCAAGCCGAGGTATCCTCCTGATTTTTATCCGCCACACGTGGGTGTGGGACCAGCCCGTCTTGCCACAGGCCTCCGCCCCTCCTCCCCTCCGCCCCTCCTACCAGTCTGGATGTGGCTGCTGCTTTAATTCCGTAGTTGTAGGACTTCCATTCAGCTTGATTTCAGGCCGTTTTGAATGATGGTTGTTCTGTAGTTTAGTTGTAACTTTGATGTGGTTGTGGGAGTACGTGATACCATGTTTACCTACCGCCATCTTGACTGGAAGTCCTAGTGGGACATTTTAACCAACTTCCCTGGAGTCCTTCAAACAAATGTGTATGTGTTTCTCATCATAAATGGATTTGATACTCAGCAAAAGACAAAAGCAAATTAATATAATGAACCTTATCTGCCTAGTCTGTATATCTGGAAACATTAATATCTGTTAAAATTAAAGGTGAAAATGCACTGAATTTTCAAATAGTGGATTCATGAATGTTATATCTTCCAAAAAAATTTTTTTTATTAATTGATTTGAGAGAGGGGGGAAAAGGAGAGAAAGAGAAACATCAATGTGTTGTTCCACTTATTTATGCATTCATTGGTTGCTTCTTATTTATATGTGCCCTCACCAGGGATCAAATCTGCAACCTTGGTGTATCAGGACGACGCTCTCACCCATTGAGCTACCCAGCCAGGGCTACATGCAGGTTTTATCTTGAAGATATACATCTTCCGAACACTTAGTTAAGCCAAAATACTGTGTGTGTGTGTGTGTGTCTAAGAGACATTCTTTTAAAGTACAAAACAATTGGTTTTCCCCACTGAAAGAATGCCTGTCCAATCTCGTCCACAGACTAAGGTAAAAGTGAAAGAGTTTAAATTCTTACATTCCTCCAAAAGACTTATTTTGAAAGTAAAATAACTTTTTTCATTCCCATGGTCTTGCAAAATTAAAGGCGGGGGTGGGGAGTGGCAGCGTGAGAGAGAAAGAGGAACACAGAAAAATAGAAACAGAGATAATACACATAAACATACTCATCAAATATTTTAATACTATTAATAATTTCTGGAAAACTTTCCAGAATGATTAAGGTGTCAATTATGCTAGGCTCTAAATTAAATTACATGAATTAAAATACATGAAAGTATTACATAAAATTTCTTTTTGCTGCTGTTGGACTCCATATAACAAACCAGACTTAGTTTTCCCTGTACCTAAACAGCATCTTTATTTTTCAATAAAAGTGAAAAATATTGAAAAGACAGCTCAATTGTGATTTCTTATAAAAAACTTAAGTTCTTTCTTTGGCCACAGCCAGTCCAAAAGAAGACACTCCTTGTAACTGACTCTTGGAAACCTTAAAACTTTTGCAGACTGGTGCAGCCACTATGGAAAACAATATGGTGTTACCTCAAAAAATTAAAAATTGAACTGCCAATTTGACCCAGTGATCCCACTTCTAGGAATACACCCTAAGAAGCCAGAAACATCAATCAGAAAGAATATATGTACCCCCATGTTCGTAGCAGCACTATTTACAATAGCTAAGATCTGGAAACAGCCCAAATGTCCATCAGTAGACAAATGGATTAAAAAGCTGTGGTACATATACACAATGGAGTACTCTGCAGCTGTAAGAAAGAAAGACCTCTAATACTTTGAAACAACATAGAGGGACCTAGAAAGTGTCATCCTAAGTGAAACAAGCCAAACAGAGAAAGACAAGTATCATATGATATCACTTATTTGTGGAATATAATGAACATAACAGTCTGAGGAATGGGGTAGTCCCAGAGAGGTGGAAGTAGGGTACAGACTGACTATCTCCAGCAGAGGGGGTGTGGGGGAGAAATAAACCACAGAACTTATATGCATGTATGCATGAACAATGGACATGGACAACAAAGCTGGGGAGAGGATGGGGGGGCAGGGGGATCAGTGGGGGAGAAAGGAGAAACATCTGTAACAAAAATAAATTAATTAATTAAATTTTAAAAAAAGAAAATAAAAAACCTATATTTCTCTACAAAGAAAAAAAGCAAAAAAACTTTTCAGTCTTCTAATGGGTTCTAGATAGCTTTAGCCAGTTTGGAAACTAAAAGAAAGTTGTCGTTGTGTATGTTTTTTCTCTCTCTCTCCAAAAGACAGCTACTTAACTCTTATTTGTTCTTCCTCCATATCACATAGAGATAATATCTTTCTCACCTATCTCAATGTGATTTGTGTGAGGAGCAATTTAGTTCAATTTAAGATGTCTAAAATTTTAAATTTTCTTTAAAATTCAGGTGCCCCTCCCCCCATGCATTAATTCTAGGTGTTAAAGAAACATAAAAGTGGTTTAATAGCCCTTGCCCTCAGGGGGTTTACAAGCTAATAGAAGGGTGAAGACAAACATGCAGATTTCGATAATGCAAAGCAGAAAGCAATAAAGGTCCAAAAAGAAGAATACAAGGTATGAGAATTCAGAGCGGAGAAAGAGATCATATCTCAGCAATTAGCCCATGTCTGGCTTGCAGCAAGGATTCAGTAAATTACTTGTGCAATGAGTAAATTAACAAATTAAAATATCCAATTGTGAGGAAAAATGATTCAGAAAAGGCTTATATGGGATTAAAATCTAAATCACTATTCAAATGCAAAGGGAACTAGAAATGGGGCTATTAATATAATTGTTGTTGTTGTCATTAATATAATGGCTCTCTAGTGAAACTGTTCTCTCAGATGTTATCTGGGAGCCCCTAATTTCTAAATCTAAAATCAGTCTTTGTGCAGCCTGGCCTTTACCTAACTCTCCTTCCCAGGACCCTAGCCCTCTCTGATTCTCTGTAATGCCTTTTCCAGGGTTGTCTCTCACTACAGACAGCCCCTTCCTTAGTTCTTTTTCCACACTGTCTTTAAATAGCTATGCTCTATAAGGTGGAACACTTCACAACTCCATTCTTGTGTTTTGCTTTATATGGAGAGTATAATCCATCCCAGAGCATCAACTATCCACCAACATGCTATTGCTTACTGAAACCACATCTCTAGCCTCTACCTTTCTGCAAAGCTTCTGAGACTGTAAACTGCCCTCTCCACAGTTTTTGCTTGCTGCTTTCTCAGCCTGGAAGGCCCTCCCCACCCCAACCATGAAAATCCCATCCAACCACCACCCTTCAAGGCCAAGCTGAGATGCCTCCTCCTTCTTTCAGCTTTCCCTATTTCTCTAGGCAGAATTAACCAATTCTGCTTCTAATTTCCCAGTGCACTTATCAATCTCTTATTTAATTCTATTTTATTTTATAATTAACTTTTGCCATATCTATATTCCTAACTAAATTATAACCTCCCTGAGGGAAAGAAGTGATCTCTTTGACTTTTACATGGCTTTGAATTCAACATATGAACAATAAATAGGTGCTTGATAAAATATCATGAAATGATACATATCAATTTGTCTGCAGTGGCTCAGCTGCATCTATTCTGAATTAAATGCAATGAACTCAGGTCCCATCCAGTCTTGTGTCTAAAAAATTAAACAGAGTCCAGATTCCCAGACACCTCTTTCCTTGCAAACCTGAATCTGCCACTTATACAATTTACTTAGATCAGCTTTGACCCTATGTCTCTACAGATATAAATGAGTGTGAGACCACAAATGAATGTCGGGAAGACGAAATGTGTTGGAATTATCATGGCGGCTTCCGTTGTTACCCACGAAATCCTTGTCAAGATCCCTACATTCTAACACCAGAGAAGTAAGAAAAATTAAAACTTTTGAAAGTGAGAATTATCTGGTCTTACCAAGTCAAACTGTTGAATATTTTTGTTTGCCTTTGCAGCCGATGTGTTTGCCCAGTCTCAAATGCAGTATGCCGAGAACTTCCCCAGTCCATAGTCTACAAATATATGAGCATCCGATCTGATAGGTCTGTGCCATCAGACATCTTCCAGATACAGGCCACAACTATTTATACCAACACTATCAATACTTTTCAGATTAAATCTGGAAATGAAAATGGAGAGTTCTACCTAAGAGTAAGTATCCTGAGGGTAGCCTTAGCTATTAAGAAAGATTCAGGATTGTTGTGTTGTTGTTGTTTGGTAGTATTCACATAGGAGGAAAGCTAACATTTAATGAGTTTTTATGTGCAGGCATTGTGAAGGCTTTTCTGTATGCATTGTCTCATTCAATCCTCTTAATAGCACTGTAAGATAGATGTTAAATATATATCTCCATATTTTACAGAAGAGAAAAGTAAGATTCAAAGAGATTAAGTAACTTCTCTAAAGTCATTCAGATAACAAGTTGTGGACTCTAATGGAGTTGTGTGTGATCACCAAAACACAAGCCTACATACACACAGGCACGCACGCACACCACACAAAATAGATACCACAGATTAGTGACAGTTATTTAATTGTACCTAGAAAAAAAAATTCCTGGAGAACTTTTCAAAAGCAATGAATTCCTTACTGTTACATTCACAGGATTATTTAAATTTTTACAAAACTGAAACCTGAAAGTCTCTAAGAAGTGACCCTAACCCCTGCAACATATGTGTACCACTCTTGCAAACCTCCAAGCCGACAATTTGAGGTCACCATTGTGTTTTCCCTTTCTGTCATTCCTATATGAAATCTTTCTGAGTTCTGCCACTCTTTCTTCACGGTGTCTCCTGTATTAGTTTTGCTTCCCTATGCCCCTGCCTCTCTTCCTTTAAACTTGCTCTCAGCACCTCCCCAATCCCTCCAACAGATTCTAAGTAGATCTCCCTGACTCCAGTGCCTCAGCCTTCCAGTCCCACCCCCTGCAAAAATCTCAGCAAGTTCATGTTAGGTTAAAATTCTGACATATTTTAAATACGGCTCACCATTTCATGTGAAAATGATGGCACCCCGCCAAGCAGTTTACAGGGTTACGGTAACTGTTTCATACTAAGGATGTTATTCATCCAGTTACAATTTTCTCACAACTCCTCTGGGCACTCTTCACTTTTAATCATATTTTAAAGTCAATATTTCAGTTTGAGAATATGAAAAGTAAATTGGGAAATTCATCCTTGTGGTAAAGTTTATAGATTTTTAATGTTTACACGTTTATGCTGTTCTTTGCTATATTAAGTTTCCTTCCAGTTCCAGAATTATGTGATTCTGTTTCTTTGCCAGTAAATTAGAAATGATTAATTTCTCATGACTAACTTCTGAAGAGAAAAAACAAACCCAAAATACAATCTATTACTATTCTTTTTCTAATAGCTGAGAATAAACTTCTGTAACATTTGATACTTCAAATTTGATATAGAGTAGATAATGTAAGTTTACTCTAAATGAATTTCACATAGTTTAGATAATACCAATTTAATAATTCTAGCCCAAACAAATAACTTTGTTTGTAACCCATGGCAATAAAATAGGTTCATCTAAATATCTTCTTTAAAAATAATTTTCCATTTTGAACTCTTAGCTATAATTTAAGAAAATAAAATTTCATAGCAGAATCAAAAAACAGTGAAGTAAAGTTCCAGCATTGTTTCCCTTGCAATAAACATGGCACTTTAAAAGTTTTATGATTCATATCAGTGCATTTATCGACTTGATGTTTTCAAATATACTTAGTGTTTTTCTCAACTAAAATCCTTTCTTCTCATGAATGATCTAAAACATTGCCAATTTTTATAATCCTAGAGTTAAATAATATTAAATTATTTATTCCTTTATTTTTTATTTATTTATTTATTTTGGTACGTGCCCCTAGCGGGAACCAAACCCAGGACTCTCTGGTCCGCAGGCCGATGCTCCAACCGCTGAGCCAAACTGGCCAGGGCAATGATATTAAATTATTTAAAACAAACAAAAACAACTACTAAAAATAAAAATATATTTCAAGACTGTTTCTTATCACATAATTCAAAAAGTAGCTGGATCAAATCCTACAAAATTTCTCCACTGAAATTCCATTTGTGAAGAGTGCATTTAATGCATAAGAATCAATTAGCAGACCTTAATTAAGCATCTATTGTGTGCTCCGCTCAGTGCTAGATGCATGTAATACATAGTTCCTTCTTTAAAAGAGCTTTATACATTACTATGTGGTAAAAGTTAACATCTGCGAAAAAAAGAAGGGGAAAAGTTTGAGTTTATTAAATCCATGGTCTAAGATATCAAAGATTTAATATGGGCTGGAATGTTTCTTGATGGTCATGAGACTGTACCTGAACCTTGAAAGGATCTGTGGTATACAGGAGTTTATTTATACTCCTTTAGGGAAAATACTGAGAAGACCTTCTTCCCTAGAAAAGGGGACATATTATAAAGAAATACTGTATGAAATTGAAGGTAGAATACCATCCTCCTCCCCATCTTACCCAATCTCTATTCTCCTTTACTGAGCCTTATTTTTCTTCATAGCCCTTATCAACACTTGCGTAGTATTCATGTATCTGTGTCACCCACTAGAGTGTGAGTGTAACAAGAGCAGAGACTTTAGCTGTCTGTTCGCTCTTCTAAGCACAACACATAGAATGGTAACTGGTACAATGCAGGTGCTCAAAAAATATGTTTAAATACATTTAATTCAATCAATACTTTCAAGATACTGACCTACAAGGAGCAAGCACCATGTTAGGTCCTGGAGACACAACAGTAAATAAAACTGCCCTAGTGGAGCTTACAGTCAAGACATCGAACAAGTGATCACAAGTTTGCTGAATGTTACAACTGAGCATTGCAAGATGTTCATGAGTGCATAACAAGTCAATAGGAGTGATCTGTGAGTCTCTTAGAAGAAGCTGATTTAAGCTGAAGACTAGAAATTAGAGGTCAGCAAAATGAAAGGAATAAAAAGAAAACCAGTTGGTATTATAGGTAAAGTGGCTTGAGAGGAGCCTGGAGAGATGAACAAGGCCTAGATCATAGGCCTTACAGACCTTGTTAAGGATTTCAAGTACAGACTTTACTATACAGATTTTCATGTTAAAAAGTTGTGTGGCTTCACTGTAGAACTTGGATTGGAGTGGAGCAAGAGTGGAAATGAGAAACCAGAAAGTAGTTCAAGAGATGGGAGACTAGATTTGTAGCAGTGAGTTCAAAAGAAGTGAACAGACTTATGAAGATGTAGGAAGAACTGGAGGAGAAGGAAGCAAAAAGGGTGACCTCTGCCCTGGCCAGTTTGGCTCAGCAATTAGAGCGTTGGCCTGCGGTCCAGAGAGACCCGGGTTCGGTTCCCACTAAGGGCACGTACCTCAGTTGCAGATTGTCCCCGGCCCTGGTTGGGTCGTGCGGGTGGCAACCACTCAATGTGTCCCTTTCACGTTGATGTTTCTCTCTCTCTCTCTCCCTCCCACTCTATCTGAACAAAATATCAAAAAATGTCCTCGGGTGAGGATAAAAAAAAAAAGGGTGACCTCCAAGTTTCTGTCATGAGCAATACTAAATGGTGAGGCCATTTACTAAGATAGGGAAGAAGGAGCCAGTGTAGAGAGGAAGGTGAGGAATCATATTGAATCATGGTCCCCAAGTAAAGATGAGTAGAGTGTTGGAAATGTGGGCTTAAAATTCAAAGCACAGATTTACAAGTCACTGACAAATCCATGAAAATTGAAGCCATGGCTATGGATATAATAACTCATGGAGAATGTGTAGGGAGTGGGTGAGATCACTCAGAAGAGAAGAGGACCTGGGATTAAGAGAGGCTAGATTATGAAGAGTTTCCTTTCTAGAGCCTGATTTGGGCACTATCATAATCATCCAGTATCTTGGCCATCTCATCCCTCATGATATTCAGCTTCATGCCACTCTGCCACAAACCCCATGGCCACACCCCGGACTTTGTTATCATTTAGAACAGTTTCAAATCAGAGTCTTAGTCTCCAGTGACATACTCAATGACTGATTCTTCTCTTTCATGTCCTCACTCCCACTCTATCTTCTCTTCACACTCAAAGTGATGCTAGTCCCCTGACCCCGCATCTTCCACTTTCTTCCAATCTATCAACTGTTTGATGGACCCTTGAACTACTCTGTCACCAACATCTCAACTCCCTGACCAGCAACCTGTATCAATCCCATAATCCATATCTATTTTCATACCCAACTTGTCAGCACAGATTGGTAATACGATAAGTCTTCAACTTCAGATGGGTCTCGGTATGTTCTACCATCCTATTACTTTCTTTTATTTCTTCTCTTCAGCTCCTGATTTCAAATGGCCCCATGCTCTTTAAATCCTTACACTCATCACTTTCAGTAAGTGACCTCACCTCCTAATCTTCTGAGACCACTGAGGCCAACAAACATGAATTACCTGAACTTTGCATCCCATTCCTTGCAAATTTAAGTCCATGTGTCCCCCTTCCTACATATCCCTCAAGTTTTCCATGGACAGAGTTTCACTTCTGTCAATCAAGAACAACCTACCACCTGTATTCTTCTTTCCATCTCCTTTAAAACCTTGTCCTGTCAAACTCCCTACATATTTAACTTGTTTCCTCCTCTAGATGTTGCCCCTCTCTCTTTTTCCTTCCTGGCCAAGATTCTTAAAGCACAGTCAGTAATCACAATCTCTGCTTTATTACTTCTTATCCTCACATCTCCAAAGTCTGTTCCCCCTACCCTACTAAAATTGCTCTGGAAAAGAGCCAACACCAACATCCATACTGCTAACTCCAGTGGGGCATTTTTTCAGTTCCTGTCACCCTCAGCCTATCCTGCTGCATTAGACACTGCCGGCCACTAATTTGTTTTCCATTTAATCATCTGTTTCTTCACAGCTTCCTTCAGTGCTTCTCCGCTGCCTAGTACTTAAGTGTTGGCCTCTGTCAGACCCAGTCTTATCCCATATATATTCTCTCCCTTGGTTTAATGCACCCACTGAAGTGACTGCTAAATCTTAATCCACTGTCTCTATCCCTGCTCTCCTCTTGGTGTTCAGATTCACAGATCTATTCACCTACCCCTCCAACCTAATTTTTCTCCACTCTTTAGTACCCATTACATTCTTAATCAAAATGAAATTGCATCCAGTTCTTCTGAACATACTTCTTTACAAAATTTCCATTTATCCTGGGTGACTTTCCTCATTCATTCAAAAGCCTTCCCTCAGCTCTTACAGGTCCCTCTTCCTTTTCCTGTGTATATACCCTTTTATGTATCTTCAGATATACCTTGCATTTCCCCATATAAATTGGCATTTTCCACATTCTATTGAAATTAACTATTTACATATCTCTTCATCTACTGGCATGTAAATTTGGAGAAATCAAAGATGACAACTTTATTCACCAGTTTAAAATTATCAGATTCTCACCTGAACTCTATTCTCTATAAAGGCTGGAAATACTCAATAAATGTGAAGAAAACATTAACAGAGAGAGAAAAATAGAAAACAGAAAAAAGCAGGCTCCTGTAACTCGGAACTACTTACTATGTGTGGACAAAGAATAAGGCCCAAGAAGGGTTAGAACCAAAAAGAGACTATGGAATGACTTTTATCCCACCCTCAAAATTCTTCCCCTAAATTTTTTAGGAGGTACACACACACACACACACACACACACACACACACATACACAAACCAGAAACTTCAATCCAAGGAAAATTATTTTCTCCCTTCCTCTTTTTTCTTTTATTTTAGCAAACAAGTCCTGTAAGTGCAATGCTTGTGCTGGTGAAGTCGCTATCAGGACCAAGAGAATATATCGTGGACCTGGAGATGGTGACAGTCAACAGTATAGGAACCTTCCGCACAAGCTCAGTGTTAAGGTTGACAATAATAGTGGGGCCATTTTCATTTTAGTCTTTTAAAAGAGTCCACTAGAGGCATTTAAATCAGCCAAAGAATATTGTTACTTTAAAGCACTATTTTATTTATAGACATATCTAGTACATCTACATCTATATGCTGTACACTCACCAATAAGTCAAACAATTACACCATGATATAAAATGGGCATTTAATTTGTAAAGATTCAGTTTGTCTTTATTACTGTATGTAAATTAGACATTAATCCACTAAACTGGTCTTCTGCAAGAGAGCTAAGCATACTCTATCTGGTAAAACTTGGATTCTTTTCTATAAAAGTGGAACCAAGCAATGATTATCTTCTGTGGTGCTTAGGGAAACTTACTATAGCTCCACTGACAGTCTCATAAGGAGGCAGCCATCGTAACACTGAATAGCAAGTTCAAGAATGAGTTTTTTAAACTGCTTTGTAAGAACATGGAAAAAGTCAATAAAGATATATTTCTTTAGAAAATGAGGATCTACTACATTTGTGTTTATTTTCATGACCAGTCTTAACGTGGTTGTTTATTACATAGTAACAAATCATTATTGTAGGATATTTAAATTTTGTCAGATACTTTTGATTATGAATGTAAAAAAATAGTAAGAAAAATTTCCAAAATAAATAAGGTGTCCTCTAGGAAATTATCATCTTGAGAATTTTACAAGGAGGAGATAAGAAAACAAATTCTTTCTAAACCACATTAAAGGTGACATGAAGAAGCAAACACAGTATCTTAGTTTGAGCTGCTAAAACAAATTATAGACTGGGTGGCTTATAAACAACAGAAATTTATTTCTCACAGTTTGGAGGCTGGCAATTCAAGATCAGGGTGCAGCATGGTTAGGTTCTTGTGGAATCCCTCTTCTTGATTGCAGACTCATAGCTTATCATGGTAGAAAGAAAGGGAGAACTCTCTGGGTTCGTTTAACAAGAAGGCTAATCCCATTAATGAGGCTTTTACCTTCATGGCCTAATAACCTCCCAAACACCCCACCTCCTAATACCATCACATTGGTAGTTAGGATTTCAACATATGAATTTTCAGAGGACATGAACATTCATTCCATGACATCTAGTAAATATAACAACATTCCTGAATTCAGGAGTTCTGCAAGATATGGAATAAAATGAAGAAAAGGTATTTACCCAAGAAGTTTTAATTTCTGAATAAAATTAAAACCCTAAAACTTTACTAACTCACAACTAAAATTTTTCATCTTTATCTTTGATGCCTACAGAGGAAGAAAATGGTGATGGTTTTTATTCTTGGCATCCAGAATGACAGTAAACTAAAGCAAATTACCCTTCCTCCCAATTCTGTGAAAACGTTTTATGTCTTGTTTGTTTAAAATGTAACTGTTTCACTTTGATGTATCATAGTTTGAAATAAAAACAAATATTCTTTTAAAGGATCACCCAATCTTTGGAGGTTTTTTTGTTAAGTAACCAATAATATCCAATATAATTTTTATATCTGAGAAAAAATTAGTTATAGCTGCCAGAGCAAAAAACAACCATTTGATTTTTTAAATTAATAATGTAAGAGATGAGAAAACAAAAAAGACTATTAAAATCATGCCACAATAAGGTGTGCAGCCAATTTTCTCTTACATCCAGTTTCAAAATACGTATGAATAAACTCTGACACCAGGTAACCTGGACATTGGTACAAACATTCCTCAAGAGTTGACTAAATGTGCAGTAATTGTCGAAAAGAAAGTTTACCAAGAGCCCAAAGAACAAAACACAAACTTCTTGCATGAGTAGAGCTGGGGATGGGCTTTTAAAGGTTGAAAGGGCATAGAAACGATGATGAGAACAGGTCTAAACAAGGCCCAGACAAGGAAGCAGAGTCAACAACCAGCTGCAACACAACAGGACTATTGAGGGTGTTCCTGTCACCCTGTTCACATGATTACTTACAGTTCAGATAAATTAAGGCTTAATCTAAACACTTCCATTTTTAATCAATATAGTGCTTTTTCTACATATAGACACAGTTCTCAAATCAGAGTTAGAAATGGTAAAAGCTTTTTTTTTTTTTAAGCCTAAGACCTTCTTAAGGTTCTCACTCTTAAACAAGAAGGCAGGATCTTATCTATAACTCCACAGAGGATTGTAGAAGAAATAGGAATCTCTCTGAAATTACTATACATAAGCCCTGACTGCTCTGTGTGTGTGTGTGTGTGTGTGTGTGTGTGTGTGTGTGTGTGTGTGTATTCTGGATCTACAGAAGCTATTAACTGCAGTGCCCCTTAATTCCAAGGCCTAGTCCTATTCACAAATCATAGACACACAGAAAGGGTTGATGTACTGAAGTGTCACTGATGCATTTCCTTTTCTTATTGTAAAATCCTTATAAAGTTCATTTTAAAATGTACAGCTCAGTGGCATTTAGTACACTCCAGTGTTGTATAAATATCACCACTATCTTGTTCCCTAACATTTTCATCACTTAAACCCCATACGCATTAGCAATCACTCCCATTCTCTTCCACAAGTCCTGGGAGGCTTTACTACTAATCTTTCTATCTCTATGAGTTTGCCTATTCTGGACATTTTATATAAATAGAATCATGCAACAGGTGGCTTCTTTCACTTACCATAATGTTTTCAAGATTCATTCATGTTACAGCATGCATTACTACTTCATTCCTTTTTATGACTGAATAACATTCCATTGTGTAGATATACTACATTTGTTTATCCTCAGTTGATTGGTTATTTCTACCTGCAAATCCTTTTTATCTTGACTGTCAAAAAGAAACTGGTTCCTAGACAAATTTCACAACCTAAATCACCCATTTTTAGTTTCATTTTCGACTGAAAAAAGAAAAGCAAGTTTAGTCCTGGCCAGTGTGGCTCAATTAGTTGGAGCATCATCTGATACACCAAGAGGTGGTGTGTTTGATTCCCAGTTATGGCACATACCCAGGATGCAGGTTCCATCCCCAGTTGGGGCATGTGTAGAGGCAACCAATCAAAGTTTTTGTCTCACATCAATGTTTCTCTCTCCCTCCCTCTCTCAAATCAATAAAAAAAAGTTACAGAGTTTTAAAAAAAATAGCAAGCTTTGTTTTTTTTTTCACTCATAGAAGCAAAATCCTGGAAAAAAAAAAAAAAACGTTGAAAAGCTAACACATGAGTTCCCATACATGTACAACCATTCTCAGTAAACACAATTTCATGCTTTTTTTTTCTTTATTGATTTTAGAGAGAGGAAGGGTGAGAGAGAGAGAGAGAAACACTGATGAGAGAAAACATCGATTGGCCACCTCCTGCATGCCCCTCACTGGGGATCCGGCCCACAACCTGGGCATGTCCCTGACCGGAAATTGAACTGGTGACCTCTTAGTCAACCACTGAGCCACACCAGCCGGGCTCTCATGCTTTCTTTTAATGTAATTTGAAATTCAAAATATAGTAAATATCATTACTAAAATCAAACCAAAACAGTAAGACAAAGTCTTGCTTTGTTTTCAAAATGCACATGACTCCCTCTTCACTTCTTCCATGAGAATCACTGATTTAAATCAGCTCCCAGAAATGGGAATTATGAGAATAATTCATCATCAGAGTCATTATTATTCAGCAGCAAACATTTATTAAGCAACTTCTATGGTAATTTCTTCCAACATCTAACAGGATGATGTAGTATAGGAGAACCAAGGTTCTAATCTTATCATCACTTGTGAGAATTAGCTTTGTGGTCTTGGTTTCTTTACCCCTAAAACTGGGCTATTAAACAAGGTGTTTTTTTCCAGCTTTATAAAGTATAACTAATCCCCATCTCAGTGCTGCATTCAGGGGAAAGATGGCTCTATTTACCAATTTTTTTCTGAGCATCTGAGTATTCTCTGCATGCAGAGGCTATTGGAAAGCATTGGACATTGATGGAAAAGAAACTTAATAGCTCCCTTCCCAAAACAGCTCTTCACAACATGATTTCATTACTGGGGCCAAGGACATGAGAAATAACCCAATTTAACTATAAAATTTTTATATTAAAATGTAAAATTTTTAGTATTCACTGTGTTAAATTATACAGGTTTTTGCTCCTTTCTACTGATACTAACTGAAATATGATTACTTGTGTTAAACTGAAAGTCATTGTACCCTGTTTCACCAGTGAAAAAAGTCCAGCCATGGGTTCTCACACTTTAAACATGTTTCTGGGGAAATACATATATTCTTACTCAGTAATAAGAACTGAACTAATCATTTCCATCACTTCTCCATTGTAATGCCGTACCAGGGCTATAAGTCTTTTGTGCTCCCTGACTGCACAGAATTATTTTCTGACAATGGTTAGGAAAGCCCTCTTGGTTGTCAAGGCTTCTCAAAAGGAGAATAACCTCCTTTGCCTTGCCAAATTTCCCTCTTAACTAGTGTATTTGACCACTTGCAACCTCTATCCCCTCCAAACATAAAATCTCTTATTAGATACACTTCTTTTTTATAATAATTAGAATACTAAACTTAAATGCTACCTCATCAAGCCATCTTATTGTTAATATTTGCTCAAGGGTACCGTTTGTTGAGCAAGAACACTGTGCCCACAATGCAAGTCTTATTACTCAGATTAGGGCTCTTCATTGTCCCTACTCCAAATTTCACCACCAGCAAGCCATTCCTTCTAAGCTTCTTCCTGCACAGTGTCCACCCCAAATCATGGACTAGCCTTGCTGGTTTCCATGACCAGTTGTCACCACTGCTATTACGTACAATGTAGCAAGGTTGAAATAACACAGATACCAATCTGATTCTGATTTACTCTCTTAAACTTTAGCTGATTTGTCCTCATTAAAAACTCCACAATGCAGAAGTAATTGTGTTACACAAAATACTCCTGAAGTCTAGAAACTAAAACTCAAGAACCAATCATGTAGACCTTACTATATTCAAGAGGACAGCAATTTCTAAGAGTAAAAAGCCTATCACTAAAGATCCAAATGGAGCTGGTAGCATGGGGGAAATGAGATAGTCACAGTGGTGAAGATGGAGTGGGGCTAATACTCTCTTGGTTCAGAAGCTGGACCTAAGGGCTTATGGAGTGCTTCCTTCCATAGGATTAGTGTAAGATAAGGGGTTGATGTAAGGATGACTGACATTCCTTGACATTGGTTAATATACATCAGGTGATTTTTGAAGGGGCAAACAATGAACATCATCACCTAAAAGATTCTTGCTTTAGAGGCCTTGAATAAGATATGATACATTTTATTAACACCTCAGTTCTCAATGGGCCTTCTTTCATAATATGTTTAAGCAAAAATAAGTAGGAATTTGATTTTTTTAATGTAAGTTAAAAATACAAATATCAGAAGGTAGAAACCAGTTAGAAACCAATCCCTGTATCTAATAAATGTAGTCATCTCTACTACTCTGCTTCTACAAAAAGATGTTTTAGTGAATCCAAATGATGGAAATAGAAAGATTGTTCAGTACCTTAAGACCACCTGAACATAGCCCAGTGGGATTATTATTTGGGGGGAAGCTTCACAAATACAAGTTTATTGTTGAATCTTGTTTCCATGACTCCAAGCAGTTTTGAATAGCCATGAAAGCTTCTAACTTTCTAAGTCCTCTTTTAAAATATAGAACAGCTGCTAGTCTGCTCATATGTTATGCATAAGAAGCCCACAAGGGACAAAGCCCTTCATTAATATGTTGAATTACTTTTTAACACACTTATATTTCTATCCTGAATCATCATCTCAAAAAGGTGGCAAGTTTCCATCTTCCCAGCTGGGGGGAGCACCTGCAAAATACAAACCCAAACTGTGACACATCTGGTACCAAAAAACCAATCTTGTTTCATCTGGCCAGCAGGCTAAAATATCAGGATCATTGAACAGAAACAAGGCAAAAAGTTAACTGCCTCTTATATGCAGTCAACACAGATGTCTAGTTAAGCTGTTTATATTGTAAGCACATGTATATGTTAATGGAGCACAGAGCCCTTTAATAAGGCAGAGTTGGAATATAAATGCAAGAGAATTTTAAAGACCTGAATGCAACAGTTTGATTCTTTTTTTTTTTAATCTTCCCATAGAAACTAAATTCCTTTTTTTTTTTTTCAGAATCTCAGCATTATTTTTAAACAGATGCATATAACACAAACAAATATTTTGCTGAGTTTTTGATGTATTTCCAAATTATTTATTTTCTTTAAAAACTGTATTCCATGTTGTATTTTGATATTTAGATTATGTTCCTTTAAATGACGAATAACTTACTTAAACCAGATGTCTTGGTTTGTGTTGCCCCAAAAGCAGACCCTGAAAAAGAATTGAGTGTGGGTAGTCTGAGAGGTTAATTCAGGAAGGACAGGAAAAGAAGTGGGGAAAATGAGTCAGGAAAGGGAGAGATGCCAGTAAACAAGTGACATAATAAACTGATCACTTCT